CCGACACGCAATTTAAAGTATCCGAATATTAAATTTTTTATTTTAATTTCAGACACGTGGGGACACGTTTTGGACATGGGAGGGACACGCCAGATAAAAAAAATATTGTTTCCTTAGCCCAATTTTGGAAGTCCAAGAAGTTTGGCTGAAATCTCAAAAACTTAAACTACAAAAAAAAAAAACCCTAAAACGCTACCTAGTGACCCACCCTTCTGTTTGTGTGAGTTAAATTAAATAAGCTCTATTCTTACTTCCTTTTTTCCCTAATTTCATATGAATTAAACTGGAGTAGAATATGTTTTACTAAATTAGGATGACAACTTCGACCCAATAATCAAATTCAAATNGTTAAATTAAATAAGCTCTATTCTTACTTCCTTTTTTCCCTAATTTCATATGAATTAAACTGGAGTAGAATATGTTTTACTAAATTAGGATGACAACTTCGACCCAATAATCAAATTCAAATCTTTCTCTAGGATTTTTTTTGGTGGATTACATTTACTATTTTTATGCTTTTTAGTGGGTACATCTTCAACCCAATAAATTTACTTGACATTTATGTTTTTTAGCGAAGTATATTTAGCATTTTTATGTTAAATTTACCTATATCCTAAAAAAAATAATAAATAAATAACGTATCCCCAGCGTGTCCGTGTCCTAGTTTTTTAGAAATTGACGTATCGCCGTGTCCTGTCGTGTCCATGTCCGTGTCTCGTGTCCGTGTCCGTGCTTCTTAGATATCGGCTTTGTCCTGCACGTCCTTTGTGTATCAATGTTTTAATTATTAGAATAAATTTCTTGTATCAGTTATTCTAAACATTGATTATCAATTAAATTGTCTCTTAAATAAAAGAAGTATTCTAAACATTGTAATTAGATAGTCAACCTGGTTATATGTAATTGAGCTAATGTTCATTAAGCAATATGAGAACCAGAAGATATGGGAGTATCCTAAAAATACTGATGATCGTGTGTAAGTGCTGAACTATAGAAACTTTTCTGCAAATGGCAAGTCCAACGAGTGATTGCCTTTTTACTATAATAATTTACTTATTGTTTTGACATCACCATCCTCGGATATTGTTAGGCAATGATTGATAATACTAATACCTTAATATGGTCGTCGAACTTGTCATTGGTATTTATCTGATCATATTTTTAGGACCATGATGAAAAATCACAAGGCACAGATGATGTTGTCTGTTCTGGGATAAACAAACTTCCAGCAACGGGTGAGACCTTCTTTCCTGTCTTGGCCTGCAACTGATTGTTTCGGAGTTTTGTATATTATATTTTGATCAACACCCTCAACTCTTCGTTGTTTTCAGTGAAGAGTCAAACTGCGGATGACATCTTCAATTTGGCTCCTGGTTCATGCAATGCTTCTTTTCTAGGCAATGTGAATTTTGGTAGCTACTCACAAGGTTTTTATCCAACAGACGGTGTTGATTTGTCTTTTGCTGGGGGTCTAGTGCCTCGACCTATATATGACCCGAATTCACCTTTCCCGAGTGCAATTCAGCTTAAAAATAGTTTGACGGTTGCAGGGCATGATGTGGCTTTCAGCCAGAACGAAGGCAAACTTATGATCTCATCCAGAACTGGGTCGTCAGGCTGTTCAGGTAGCTCTACTGCATGCTTGGATGATGAGAATATGTCAGATGACAGGCCTATGAAAAGGAAGCGACTTTCAAGTTGTGACTCCTCGAAGACAGGTTCTGAGCTTAATGAATCTAAAATCATTCCCTTCCATGAAGGAAACAAAGTAGATACACTTGTTACAGAAAAGAGATTGCGAAAGCCGCCTAGGAGATACAGCGAAGAGTCAATTGAACAAAAGTCAAGATCTACTATCAAGAAGAGTGCTCATAAAGCTTCCAAGGATAAGTCTCTCCCCTCTGAATCTCACAGGCAGAATCACTGCCAAAAGAAACTTAAAGCAGCACCGATCATTCATAAAGATAAATCGTTTAATGGAGGTTGTATTCAGGTTCCATTCGGTCTTCCGATAGAAGAAGGTCAAGTTCACTCGGCGAAAAAGAGAACATGTTGGGTAAGAACACAGCCGTTTCACCAAGTTCATTTAATCTATCATGTAATTTCCTAATCTTGGTTGTACTTACTTGAACTCATTGTCGAAATCAGGACTCAGAGGGGATGAAGGATAATAGAATCTTGTGCATAAAAGATAAAAACGATGTGGAGTCTTACTCGGCCGAGTCAGAAGATGAGAATACTGAAGACGAGTGCATCACTAAAGGTAATAATACTCAAAAAGGCAGCAGTCGCAGGAAGCACCATATATCATGGACTCTTTCTGAGGTTATGAAGTTGGTGGAAGGTGTTTCAGAGTATGGTGTCGGAAGGTGGACAGAAATTAAGAGGCTACAATTTTCATCATCTTCACATAGAACATCTGTGGATCTCAAGGTAAAAATAAATTGACAGCTTGCTTTTCAACTTGTTTCTCTTTTAGATTAAGAACTGGTAATTTCTCCTCTTCAATATCAAGATGGATCACAATTTTAGTCCTCTGCTGAAGTTTGCCATCAATTTCAGGACAAATGGAGAAATCTATTGAAGGCAAGTGACACACAGTTGCAGAACAGAAGAAAGGTTGGGTTCTGTTTTTTTTTTTTTTTCTTTACTTTAGTACAAAATATCTATTCAAGTCCCTGAACTTTCTCGGCTCTTGCCATGTTATTCGGCTACCTAAAATTTGCTTCCAACTGATGTGGTTTGACTACATGCTCACATTAACACATTACTAAACACGTGAAGTCCGGTTAAAATAGTTATTTTTTGAAATAGTTATTTTTTAAATGTTCAGGGACTGAAGTCGACCTCTTGAAAGTTTAGGGACAAATTTTARAGAACATTCAGAAAGTTATAATCTTGATAGTTGGGCCAAAATGATATTTAGAAATAGGATTCCCAAATGTCTGCATAAGCTGAAATCTTTGATTATCTTGTGCTTTGGCTGAAGATTTATATAATTATCTCTTGGAGTTCTTTCAGGTCGTCCTTGGTCGAAAGCAGGCATCGCAGCAAGTACCGGAATCAGTTCTTCGCCGAGTTCGGGAACTGGCCGCTATTTATCCATATCCAAGGGAAAACAAATCCAAGGAATCGTGCTCAAGCTCAGCCCCCTCAACTTCATCCTTCAAAACTACCAGTAACATGTTTGTTTCTTTGCCCACAGTTATGTGAAGGAAGTTGAATAGAGAATCAGATTGGTTTTCCTTTCCTTTTTTTTTTCCTTTTTTCTCTTTTCTTTTTATTTTTTAATTTTTAGTAATTAGGAAGTTAGAATGTGAAAGCTTTGTACTTCACTGGCTGATTTGGCAAACAGATACAAAACCTCCATTCTGCTTTACTATTGAACCCACCAAACAATTCCTTTTCTTTTCTCTGATGTATATTGTTCAGTCTC